ATTTTTAAAAACTGATGAATCACCTGTTGTTCTTTTACTTATAAATCCAATTAATGTTGAAAATATCTCTTTTGAGCTGTGATTTGTATGTCCATAGATGTGATAGCGGCACAGCAGCGAAAGACTCTTTCTCAAAAACTACTGTATGGGAAATTTCACAGAAGACCATGGTAGTTGAACATCTTTCATAGTGTTACCACCTGCAACACAAAGAAGTCTGATTTTGTGAAACTGAAAAATTACTAGGGGAGCAGGATGGCTGGATTAAGTGTGGCATGCAAAACCTTTTATTCTTAGTGAAAATCACTCCCGTATTGGCAATGACTTGGGCACGTCTACTGTTGGACTGTAGTAGGGTTATTCTATTATATAGTTATGCTGTTATATTTCTGTAGTTATTTTTATAGTTATGCTAATGTGCCTTTCTGCATCAACATTGAAAAACAGGATAAAAATTACTATTTCCTGTCACATCTATCATGGAGTAAAATTGTTATTCCCGAGCTTTTTATCCACATGAGTGTACTGCAGTGCAGGCATAGGTTTGTCCTCTGCAGCCCCCCACCCCATGTAGACAAGCCTTGTATGTCTCTGATTTTAAGATCGCTCCGCAGTTTTCTCCTGACAAAGGAAGTTAGTGGTTTCAGTCCAGTTTTCAGAGGTCACAGCGTCCACAAAATCAGTAGGCTAAACGAACAGCCAGCAAGCTAAAAACTCTAAATGAAAGCTAAGGATGTCTGGGGTATAGAGACTGGTCTTGCAACTCTTCAAAAACTGATTTCAGGGAAATTACTGGCAGTTTTTTGCGTTGTTACTGCCTATGGTGTAGCATAATGGAGCAGTAGAGGACTTCAGGGTAGGGGGGTTAGCAAGCCAGTAAGTTTCTCAAGCATTAAGTTAACTAAAATACATTTACTCCATATAATAAATATAAACCTTTCATTATAGTGTAAATAAAGCCAAACATCGCAGCTTGCAGAAAAGAATAGCCTCGTTTTCCTGTCATTTAAAATCTGAGATCTGTTACAAGGTGAGGTCTGGTCAGTGACTGGGTGTTAGGTAAAACCAATAATTCCCATGTTGTATGAGGATCAGTTGAAAGCTTTTAGTACTGGATATTCTTTTGTTTGTTCTCCCAGCTAGCCTATTACAGTGACCCGGTCTACACAGAAGTTGTGACCATTTGAAGGTTTAATTTCAGTGGTATCGCATAGATGTACTGTTATTCCCTTACGCTGGCGGATCAGCGTCAAAACTTAGCAGCCTAGGAAAATTGTTTTGTCCATTCAGTGCTAGTTCACTTATGGTCTCAGCAAGCGCAAAGCAAAGGATTAAAGTTCACTACTTCCTATTCATCACTAATCGTGCTAAGAAGCTGTTGTAATGTACTGTGTAAACATCAAGCTGGCATCTTCTGTAGTAGCTGTAGCCTGAGAAATTTAATAGTCTTTTTGATTTATGTGGCTGTGTGGCTCAATTCATTGCATGGAAGGCTTCTCTCTCGTTCTGAACAGATTTATGAGGCATTTTTTCTATGCTCTCTTACGAGTCAAGTCACCTTAACTTCAGTCTCTGCAGTATGATCTGGCCAGAATGTTCAGAAGAGCAGCTTTTCGTTTAGGCCAAGAGGTTCAACAGTCCCGGTGGGTAAATTTGTACTTAAGTACCAGTTTCAGGCTTCTTAAGATATTTAGGTATGTAAAGATGCAAACTGGCTGTGGAGCTGGTTTATTTGTCAAGACCTTCATGGTTCCTTAGTCAAGAAATCATTGCATAGTTTGATTCCTAGATATCTTTACGACTGACCTTGAGTGACATAAACATCTAAGTCTCTTATGGTTTTGGTACTTAAAATTGCAGTACTGAAGTACGTGGCAGTTGAGAGCACCAAAAAGCTGTTGAAAATCTGTCCTCAGGAGCATTGGTCCTAATGCACTTTCAGCTAAGCACCAAAGTCTGTTTAAGAGCCATAGATGTCCCAGTAGGAGCCCTTTTACACTCTTATCTGTCTAAATAACTTTAAATTTGTCTCTCAGTTATATTGTAATAAGAGAACTTGGTGCAAAAACAGGCATGCCAGAAATTTGTATTTTGCTTCCAACTGCTTAAACACTAGCATTGCTCTGACAAAGGTTTAAAAATAGCATTTTGAGCATTGGAATGCAAATTAACATAGCAAGCAATTGAAGTCAATTAAAACAGGATACAGTGTAATTAGAAACAATTGTGTTCATATTTATATTCAGAGAGGTTTGATGTGCTGAAAGAAAAGAAAACAATTCAGAAAACTTTTAATGCCTACAGATGTGATGATGATGATAATGGCATTTGATTTCTAGAGCATCCCATCCTCCCTCACCTCATGAGCTCTTGAGAAGCATGATAAAATGAGCATGACAATTGATGCACTGGGCACAATGGAATTAAGTTGCACGGCATACTGGGAGACTTGAACATCTAAGAGTTCTTCTTTCCCCTCTTTGAGCACAATACACATCAGTACCTGCTGCAGCACAAGAAAAGCTTGTAATTCTAGCAGCCTTGTAGCTTTTTGAACACGAACAGCAACGTTAATTGGCTCACGGGAACAGCATATCTTTCCCACACGTGCTACCCTGATAGCTTTCATCTTTTGTTGTTGTTCTGGGTACCTGTATTAGTAGTTATTGCCAGAAATAGTGAGCCAATTTTTCTCCGTTTACATCCTTGTTCTACCTTGCAGCCAGAGAGCTAGAGTCCTCTTTCAGGTAAAGCTGAGGCACAACTATCAGCCACAATAGTTTCCTCAAGGTAAAAAATGCTGGGGGTTGTGGTTCTAGTACTCAGGCTAAGGTGTGAATGGACTGTGGAAGGCATTCTGAAAAGCAGACACAAAACTAAGAGGTTTAACTCTACAGGCCTGGAGGACTGCTGTGGGAGTACTGATTCTCATGCAAGAGCACCTTTACCTGACCTCTCATGGGTGTAGGGATGTGTGGTTTCAGCACTTCTTCCTTGATGGAGCTGAATGAGGACGTGCGCCCAAAGGAACTTGGGAATAATACCTGCTTCTACAAAAAGACAATTTATACGCGCATGCAAAATGATTCAAGCAGTGATAGGATGCACAGGATAGCAGACTGAAAACCAGTACCATTAAGGAAGCATGATGCAACAAAACATTATTCTTTAACTTAGAGATACTCAGGTGCAATACCTTCCACGTCAGGAAATTTATACGACTGCTGACTGTCGTATGCGACTGCTGACTGTCGTCAGGAAATGGAGAAAAATAGCCGGCAAAGAATTAAATGTAGAAACAAGGAAGCCAGTCACTGGCTCCTCTATCCTCTCCAAACAATGTATGACCATAAGACTCAGAGCATTCCATGCGTTTTCTCTTCTCATTAAAATGACAGTTCCCTTTTTATCTGGAACCTTCTTGTGGAGAGCAGTCCGTTTGGACACAGTGTGTTTGGACACAGTTAGTTACAGTGTGCATTTACATTACTAGTGAATGATGATAAATATAAGCACAAGATAAAGCTTTCCATTTTGCATTTTTATTGACCTGTGAATTAACCAATTCAGGCTTCTGAGACCCATAGGAATATTGTGGTCATTTCCTGGGAACGTTATGACTTATATTTTCAAAAGGTCATCCAGATCCTGAATGATGTATGGATGCTTATCTCCCATTACCAGTGACAGTGAGGTGTCCAAATGTGTTTTGGGCAGTTGGACACGTTTGAATATCTGCTGTGTGATTTTAAGTGCTGCCATTTTCTGGGTGTGCCAGCTGAGGCACTCATAAGAAGGGTTATATTTGGAGTTAAATATTCAGCACTGTCTGAAAAATCGAAGTTCAGTTCTTATGAGTCATGGAAATGTGTTTGAGAATCCTGTCTATCATGAGAACATGCTCTGATGCATCCCTTTCTTTTATATAAGCATGGACCAGGCAATGACACTTTCAATTTAAAATATTTATTTTTTATGCCTATACAAGTAATGCATTTCACCAGAAGGTTTTTCCCACTCTTGCAGCTTGTTAGGTCATTTTGATTTTTGCGAGGAAGAGATATGATGGTACCCTCTCGTTTTAGGATCTTTTATCCCCTACTTTGCACAGGTGGAAATGGCTACAGAGGCTAATGGAGAATTAAGTTAACAGTATTATGCTACTTAAAGGAAATATTTATAGTGAAATGGAATCTATCACTTTATCTGTCTCAAACTTTGAATAGCTAGATACTGCTCTCAGGTATGTATTTGTGTAATAGGAGCAATTCTGCCCCCCACCCCTCCTAAATGAGACTTGAGCAGTTGTTCCCCATGCACAAAGGTTACTGATTTCTGAAAAAATCTGGCCATGTATATACGAAAGTAGGAACTGCTGGTTTTGAGCACTTCAGAAATCTTGCTTGAAGGCGCTCTGCGTAGTAAGGGTAATGTACTACATTGCAAAGGATTTTACATTGCATTTAATCATTAGGCTTGATGAAATGTTTATTCTTCAAACACGGACATGCAGGCACTCTTACGAGATGACAGTGTAGTAATTACTAGGTGACTATGAGTTCATTACCATTTTTTGCACATATTTTGTTGTATAATACATATGATGTTATATAATACAATGAATTACTTGCTATTGTGAGTCAATTCCACTGCATCTGTTTAGTGTAGTACCTGCTATAGTGTACTGGTATGCTATAGTATAGTAGCTTGTTAACTGTAACCTAAAGAGAGTAAGTAATACCTGAAGAGTAATACCTTTCCTAGTATCTCTGTAACAAAAGTGTTGACCTTTCCTACAATACCTAAATGGTTTAGAAGGGAATATGCTTGGAGGACACAATTGACCCATACGCAGCAGGGCATCAAAAGCGCTCAGGTCCTCTCTCCAGCTCCGGAGGAGGTTTTTATGTTACTAACCAATAGAAAAATGAATGCCGAAGTGAGCTTTTTTGTTGCAGTTGGAAGAAAATAGTTTTCTAATGTTTGTTTCTTCTTGCTAGGTTGTATATGTAACAGCCACATTCCCCTATATCATGCTGATGATTCTTCTGATTCGTGGAGTGACATTGCCAGGTGCTTCTGAGGGGATAAAATTCTACTTGTACCCTGACCTTTCCCGATTGTCTGACCCTCAGGTAGGCTCACACACCATGTGTTTATATTTATCCCTGACTGGGAAAAACTGCGGAGTTCTCTTGTCTTTTTTTTTTTTTTCCCCTAACTTTTAAAATTTGAATATGTGTAACTGCTGGATAGTTGTTCATTGTTAGGGATTTGAAGTTGTGGATAGGGCTTTAAAAACCATCACTGCTTACAGTTGTTGGAGCATATTATTCTTTTAGAAGAGAAGTATCCTGGCTTATAAACCAGAATTTTCAGAAGTGTGCAGTTGTGGCTGCTCTCTTGCCATTGAGGAACAAGTGCGTCCTCACTGGTTTCAGTGGGACCAAATTAAAAAGACTTAACCATTTTCAAATTGTACTTTTTTGTGCACATACCAAGTCTAAGTGTCAGTCAAGAGTAGAAAGAAGAGAGTCGAGAAGAAAAATTAATCATTCAGGTATTTGTTGTCTTTGAAGCAAAAATTTCTAAACATGACAGCAGCAGTGAGGTACTGAAACTAGGAACTGTCTTGTTAGTTATTTCAGAAATAGAGCTGAACATGTAAATACTGGTTTAAGTTAATTCTTCAGTGACAGATGAGCACAATAAAACAATTATTATATATCACTTGTCTGATATCAAAGAGGGAAAATGACACAAACTGTACAAAGCTGACAGGTTGCATTTTGCTTATCTGATTTGGCAATGTAAAATACATGAGATGGTGTTACTTCTAAGGCTGCAATGATATTAAATGGATCTTGAGATGGAGATGAAAAGGTGTTTGGGAATACTTGTGTAAATGAATTCTTAAGCACTCACCTACACCTACAGAATTGTAGAATGTGTCAGCAGAAGTACTTTTTTGCGTAAGACAGTACTGAGACCCTTCAGGTCACTTCCCTGAAGCTTCTGAAACCACTGACTCATGTAAAGGTCACCTTAAACAGTAATATTTCTACAGGAAAAAAGTAACTGGAAAGGAAAATTTTCATTTAAAATATTGGAAATTTTAGATGAAAATTGAATCATATTGCTACCTTTGAATTTGATGACATTTCCAACATTCACTGTCAGTCTCTTTTCACTTGCTGCTGGTAGCCCAACTATGGTGACGGATGGTTGAAAGAGTGGAGTTAGAACTTCTAAGATACGGTACAGTTTTCCAACTGCTAAGGTTAAGCTTGCTTAGAGGTATCCCCAGTTCACCTGAAAAATTAGTAGAGTAGCAGGGAAAACTAGTGGGATTCTCTGACGCTGTTTTTATTTCTTTGTTTATTTGTAAAGTATAACAGACTCACTCAAGATTGTAGTAAGCCAAGCAAGCCAACCAAATTTCAAGTGAACCACGCGTGTCTTCACTTGTCGTCAAGAAATTTGACTGTCATGCCCTTCCCCAAGAATATGGATGATATTTGTTTACATTGCCCAACTTTGACTAATGTTTGATTTTGCTGCGTGTTTCTGACGATGAGAGTTACCCACAGCCTTAATAAAAAGTGCCCACTGAGCACTCTTTTCTTGTACTGCGTTATACTGATTCCTCCTAACGTGGAATTCCTCCACTTGCAACTTCTGCTGACCTAATGTGAGCAGGAGGTAGGCTTCCGACTTAAACGTTGCTTCCTTCGTTTGTCCAGTGATGTGTGAGAGGCCTGTTAAAAGGATTTGGGCCTGTATGTGGATTTTTCACATGCCACTGACACCCTTACTTCCCTTTGTTATTGAGGGAGGGCATGCAAGCTTAAGCAACATTATTGTCAGGTTACAAGGGGGTTTTATATGCTTATTTACTATACTATTTCCATTTGTAAAGAAATACACTGTTGCCATGACAATTTCCAAAGCGCATGGTATTACTCAAAGCAGTCTTTGAAGTACAGAGCACTTAAATGCCACATGTGCATGTATCTGTTTATCCCACACACGTAGTTCAGTTGATATTAGAATGTCTTTTCGGGAAGACTTAGTTTTGTCCTTTAACAGGTGAACTTTTCATTCTATTTCAGTGTTGCTTTAGCTGATGCATTTCTGTGTGTCAGCCTTCAGGATTTTCAAGACACAGCTCCCTTCTGTAGGAAAGAAGCTGAAATAGAATGGGAAATAATAGAGACTGTTTAACTGCGGTATGGGGAATGAGATGGTTTGGGAGATACGTTTTTCCATTGAAAAATGCTATTTCATTGAAGTTGAAATATTTCATTGAGACAAAGCAGTTGAGGCAGAATTTTTGAAGAAATATTTCTGAGTTTTGCAGTGGGCTCTCTAGTGATTTCTCAAGAAAGGAAAAAATTTCTCAATCTTAAAACTAGAACTTGACACAACTCATTTTACAAAAAATCTAGGTAAAACGGAATTGATTCAACTCTATTGCAACTTTTATTGCTAACAGCATTGACATATTGACTTTTCAATTTTATGGAAATGTAGAATTTAATAATGTTCAAAAAACAAAAAAAAATGTATCATAAAATACATTGGGTAAGCCTCTTCTGGATTCTTTTTAGAAGCTTTTGCAAACGAGCTAGTAGAGGACAACTGAACTAACCTTGACATTTGTGCTCCCAGTTGTCATCTTTGCTCTTGTTTATTTGGATTTGCTACATAATATCAAAGCATAATGCATGTGCACTAGCAGAAGTTGTTTTCCTCTTCAGCTGGAGGTCTGTTTAAATGATGCTCCAAGGAGACTACTGTGTGTCTGTATTGGGAGAGCAGTATTTGAACCACAGTGCCAACTATGTTTACTGTCGTTTAAATACATCTAGTTTCTCTTCAAGGATCACTTTAGTTTGAAGTTCTTGAATCTTTTGTCTTTGTGTAATTTGCATTCCATGGTCTGTTATAGCTTTCTAAGCAGCTATTCATCTGTCTTTTCAGTTCCTCTTAGCTTTCAAGTGCTGTGTTCTCTATTTCATTTTTATATTCTATCTTTTCAGCAGGCTGGATCCTCTGGGTCTGAAAATGCCATCTTTTGTCCTCTTTATCTGTACAACTCATACCAATCACTTCTCATTATAATAGTGGAGTACTATATTTAAACTTCAGAAATGCTTTCTGTTTCAACAGCAGTAAGGACTCTATAGCTTCCATGCTTAAACTGCCCTGCTACATGTCCCTCTACCCCAGTCTGGAAGATACAGGTACCATTCGTAGCCCCTGAGATACAACTCCCACAACAAAGAATATTTTACAAAGTTAACAGGATTCTTATGCTTTTTGTGTGCAAGTCTGACTCAGAATATTGTTCTGGCTGTCCCTCAACAAGTTTAAGTCACTTAGTATGTAGTTGTGTTTGCATGTGGCATTCACAGCTCCTTTTTGGAAAGCAATGCAGATATCACAGAAGAGGTTTGGCTCTGTAAAATGGGATTTTCCAAACATAGGTGCACTGAAAGAGTTAAATCTCTGACTTAGGGACTTGCAGACATAACAATCTGGGAGATCAATGACATACACTGGGGTCAGTGATCCTAAACACACACCCCTAAATTCAAAACCTGCTATGGCATTGCCTTACTAAAATAAAAATAAAACCTGCTTGCTTATTGTGTGCTTCTATGCTAATAACTTTTTTATTCAAAAAATATTGTAACTGTTTTAATGAAAAAATTATAGCATCTGTAGGGATGAGGATGTCAGCATATCCAGAATTGCACTGGTTTGGGGAACTGAATTGCACGCTAGAACGCATTTCTGTGTAGAAGGAATGCAGGTTGTACTTTATCTCTGATATAATCTCATGTAAATGTTACTCATGGGAAGAAAAATGAATGGCAGGGCAAATTACTTACAAGGCACAGAAAAAATCTGAAACATCACAGTTAGGATTGGTTTTGAATTTCTCTGATATTTCATTGGCAGTGGAAAACTGTGAATGTTACAATAAAATTTCTGATGGCAATAACATTTCTACAGTTTACCTCCAGGAGTTCATCCATGCGAGTTCAGCTGTTAGACAGTCATGTCTAGGTGAGGACTGTGTATGGCTTCCAGATATTTTCTACTGGTATTCTTGCATGACCCTCTGCTCTCTGCTATCTGCATCTTCTTGAGGATAAGAGAACCTGAAAGGCAAAGCAGAGAGGTAAAACCAATAGAAGACAAAAGTGGGAATGTGTAGAGAGGACATCTAATATTCCACTTGTGGCGCGGTATCAGTCATGCTGAACTTTGTTATGACAGGAGCCCAAGTTGCCTGAAATATCCAGATCAGAAGGGGATTTAGAAGGACAGGGAGAGGACAGTAACTTATTTTAGAAAGAATACAAGAAATAGTTTTTAAAAGTATACCTACAATAAAAATACATTCGTAGTTAAAAAAAACAAAAAAACAAAAAACAGCCAAAGTATTAGCCATGATTTTCTCTATGAATAGGTCTAAATATACCATATTTTGTCACATACCGGTCATATGCACTGAAGAGCTACACCATATTACTACACAGATCATACATAGTGAGGAATAAATTCTTACCATAAAGTAGAATCATAGAATAATTTAGTTTGGAAGAGACCTCCAGCTAGTGCAACCCCTTGCTCAAAGCAAGGCCAACTATATTAGGTTACTCAGGGCCATGTCCAGTTGTTTTGAACACCTCCAAGGATGGAGTTTCCGCAGCCTTCAGAGGCAACCTGTTCCAGTGTCTTGACAACTCTTGGTGATTTTTTTTTCCTTAAATCTAATTGGAATTTCCTGTGTTGCAGCTTATGTTAATTACCTCCTGTCGTATAACTGTGCTCCTGTTTTGTCTCTCAGAGGAGTCTGGCTCTGTCTTCTCTCCCATGTGGTACCTGAAGATAACAATCAAGTCTCTTAGCCTTCTCAAGTTCCTAAGGCTGAACAAATGCAGTTTTTATCATCTGTCGTGACTGTCAACTCCCTAATTACTTTGTTGGCCCTTCCCTAGATTTGCTCCTCTACTGGGGAGTTGTTGCAAGTAGCCCGGATAAGGGCTCAAAAGCACTGCGTAGAGGGGAAGAATCACTTCGCTGAACCTACTGGATATGATCTTGCTAATACAGGCCAGGA